CTCATGCAAATATTTTGACTTTTGTTTTGTTTGCAACAGTGAACTTAACCTATTTCACTGGAGGAGGGCATTGATATCTGAAAGAATTCTGCTCAAGCAGGGGAAGAGGTATGGGGCAGAAGACAGCACAGAACCTCCCCCCATCTGGTTCTGGCTGAGGTTTTGAACCTGTGGAGTGTCAGAGGGGAAATTGTTGTCAAATGCTACCAAGCACTTGTCTGGGCTTTCTGTGGTGGCTGGTGCCGGGTGGGAGAGCACCTGTGTCAAGGCCAGTTTTATCTGACAAGGCCACAGACGCTTGCTGGGACAGGTTGGTGTCAACAGAGGTTACCAGAGCTCCGCTCGCCTTCAGCTGGCTGTGCTTCGCCTCTCTCTGACACTTTCCAAGAGCGTGGGAGAGGAACGATGTGTAATGTTCAGTGTGTTATATCAGTATTTAGCAATATTATTATGTCCAGTCATGAGAGGCTTTGTGGTTTGGTACCCACTTCCCTACCCTACCAGCCCCCTCCACACCTTTTTTAGCAGGCCCAGGATACCATGTAAAGGGAAGACTTCTTATTTAGGCCGTAATTTTGGGTCACTACAACTCATCCCACCGTTTCTATTGGTCTGCTTTCTCTTATATTTACTGGACTCTGCTGAGTCCTGCCCTTATACCCTGCGTGGGGGTGGTCTTGATATGGACTGTGCAGAGAGCTGCAGGCTGTCAGCTCTCGGCAGTCTTCTCTTGACCTCCGTGATCTCTAGTAAAAGATTTTCTCTGAAGACCTGTTCCTACAGAGAAAGTAGTGCTTGGGTACTTCCCGGCTTTCCATTTCAATTAATGGAATAAAAGTTGGGGGTTTATATTGTTCTTTTCTGAGTGGAAAAAAAGTTTAAAACAGCCTTCTCCTCCCATTTAGGAATAGGGTTAAATGCTCAGTCCTAGCATTCAGTACTTGGAAGTATGCACACAGGCCTCCTGCTTTTTGAGTCCTTGGGTTAAGAAAATTAAAAATAGCGCATTAACCTCTGTTTATCTGGTTGCATTGACCTTGGAGGGTATTGCAGGAGGCAGCTGGTCTCTCAGAAGAGTTGCAAACACTTCAGGAAGCCTGCTGCCATTTAGCCTTGCTTGTTGCTGACATTGGGAGAAACAGCAGAAAAAGGAATAAAGCAGTGCTGTGCCACAGGCAGAATGTGGTTTGCCTGTCACCTGCGTTCTGCCAGCTTGGTGCAGGCAGGGATTGTGGAGGCATTGCCTAGGCGTCCTCATCTCGCCTGTGCAGTCCCGCAGGCTGTCCTACAAGAAGGCTTTACAACAGAGCAGGGAGTTTATATTGTGCTTAAAACACCCAACCCTCTAAAAGAGCAATTTAAAGATGGTCGAGCTGCGAGAGATGGGAAGGCTTTCGCAAGGAGCATCATCTCTGCTCTGGCTGCAGGTTGGCTCAGGCTTTCTCTGAGACTATTGTGTTTTCCCAAGCCTGTGGAGGTATCTGGACTGATGAACATGCACTCCCTTGGAGTGGAAGAAGTGGAACGTTTTGCTTCCTCCTGATCCCTTCATCCTACTGTTCCCTGGTGGCAGTGTAAGCTGTTGTGGCACTGCTTTGTTTATGGGACTGAGGTATGTTTTCAGGCATGTCCATGCAGCTGTTCCTGTTCTGCAGGAGACTGTAGGGCTTCTGGGCCGGCGGCTGAAATGCTTTTCTCTTCTCTAGTGAAGGGAGGTGGATTTAGATCACATGAGGGTCTGGCCAGACACCTGAGTAAACTTCCATTTGATTTTGCAGCAAAACTCACTCCCACTGGCTGTAAGTTAGCCAGAGGGGTCCCCTCTAAAATAGAAAGGAAAGAAGAGATCCTGATCCTCTCTCCAGATGCGTACAGTTTTTTTTTTCATTATTATTTTTTGGCAAGCTTTCTTGATTTACACACATGTGATAGATCAGAATTTGGTTTCTAGCACTGGGATTGGTCCTGACATCATGTCAGGCTCTGGCTGGCAGGCTCTCCCAAATGACGGTGGAAGTAGGGAAGCCATCACCCCTGTTCCCTGGGCAGGAAATAGGCATCCTACGTATCGATGTGTGTGCTCAGGCACCAAAGGCCACCCTGTTCACATGCAGTCTGCGGATCCTGTTGTGAGGCATCTCTCACTGCAGAAAATTCCTGGCTCTTGGAGTGAGCCTTTCATGCAAGGTGAACAACTTTGATTAATGGGGAATCACACTGGTGAGCGGCTTTCTCCAGTACCAAACAGCTCCAGAAGCTTATCCTGCACTGGGACTTCATAGCAGGTTGAGGAGCTTCAGCCCAGCTGTTGCCCCTGTGACTCCCCTTAGTCCCCTGAGGAGCATAACACTGGGCTTTAATGTACCCAAGTGCTGGCTGGCATCTCCAGCCCCGGATATCCGAAACACGGGGCCCACCAATCTATCCACCCCATGATACTCTCTTGCTCGCATGCACTCACGTGCTGCGGTAATGGTTTAATAGCAGCCCCACCCAGCGCAGTCAGGAGAAAGACTTGCTGCGTAAGCAAAAGCTAGGAAATCTCGCTGCTGTGCACAGCGCTCCGCAAGTGCTCCACTCTTGTTTTGGGAGAGCTTTTTTTTTTGGGTTTACCTGGAATCGCCAGTGACAAAAGAAGCTAGAAAGGACAGCAGTTTTCTCCTTTGATCTTCTCTCCTCCTGCATTCGGAGATGGCTGCATCCCTGGGTGTAGGGCTTGTCAGGGCACCGGGTTGTGTTGTGCCGTGGTACCATTAACGCTTTCTCTCTTGGCAGGACTCGGAGTCGCTGGACGGTTGCATTCAGAGTACGTTATCAGCACTCTACCCTCCATTTGAGGCTACCGCAGCCACTGTTCTGTGCCAAGTTTTTGATGTGGTGGAGAAGACGTACCGTGGGGATGGACTACGCTACCTCATAGACTTCCTGATTCCAGCCAAGCACATTCTGCAGTGCATTCAGCAG